AAAAAAAAAATTTCGGACTTTATCTTATCTTCATGGTGAAAATGGCTACCGAATGCTATTTTTGTGTGAAAATTTTCGATTTTGTATTTTCCATTTTTAACTTTATTATGCTATAACTTTTTGAAAAATGTATGAATCATTACAATTTTTTTATGAGAAGTAGTATTTATATAGATCTTTCATTCGACATACTATTTTTTTAAATCGGACCATTTCCCTATATATAGGGGGGATTCAAAACATAAAAATGCATATAGAAAGTAGAACTTTTTCAACTTAACTTTTGAAAGTGTTCCGGAAGGTCTGACACTTTTATATATATCTTAAATTAAAGCTAATGTAATATACTTTATAATGGTAAAAAAAAATTTCGGACTTTATTTTATCTTCATGGTGAAAACAGACATTAAACTTAATAAAAAAAATACGATTTTTGTAAAAAAATTCTTTTTTATATTTTTAACTTTATAATGCTATAACTTCTCGAAAGATGTATGGATCAATATAATTCTTTTTTTTGTAGATGCATGATGTCTTTACCTATCATTCGGTATATTTTTTTTATAAATCTGACTTTTTACCTGCCTACAGGGGGGATTCAAAATGACAACTTTTTAACAAAAAATTGACTTTTTTAACTTAAATTTTGAAATTATTCCGGAATGTCTGACACTTTTATTTATATCTTAAATTAAAGTTAATGTAATCTACTTTATTATGCAAAAAAAAAATTTCGGACTTTATTTTATCTTCATGGTGAAAATAGACATTAAACTTAATAAAAAAAATACGATTTTTGTAAAAAAATTCTTTTTTATATTTTTAACTTTATAATGCTATAACTTCTCGAAAGATGTATGGATCAATATAATTCTTTTTTTTGTAGATGCATGATGTCTTTACCTATCATTTGGTATATTTTTTTTATAAATCTGACTTTTTACCTGCCTACAGGGGGGGATTCAAAATGACAACTTTTTCACAAAAAATTGACTTTTTCAACTTAAATTTTGAAAGTGTTCCGGAAAGTCTGACACTTTTATATATATCTTAAATTAAAGCTAATGTAATATACTTTATCATGGAAAAAAAAAATTTCGGACTTTATTTTATCTTCAAGGTGAAAATGGCTACCAAATGCTATTATTGTGTGAAAATTCTCAATTTTATTTTTTACATTTTTAACATTATAATGCTATAACTTATTGAAAAGTGTATTGATCAATATAATTTTTTTATGGGAAATACTATTTTCTAATAATCTCTTTTTTATTCTACATACTTTGTCTTAATCAGGATATTAATAAGGAACTAGCAGTTTATGAAGCTTTTGGAATAATCCACCAATTTTTTAAAATTAAACACTATCTAAAGATTTGCATCGAAGCGTTTTTTTTTTATAGTGATTTTAATCACTGTCAGATATCATTATACTTGATCCATCTATGCCACGTCACCACTGTGCCGCGACCCCCCTGTGCTGGGTTTTTTTTTATGTATACGTAGTGTACAGTGGTTGCGTCGTCATTTTTACAGCCCTACACGAGTGGGGTACGAAGTTCGAAACCCGCCAGTCAAAATAACCTTTTTTGCATTTTTTTCTTAATTTTTTTTTGAGGTGAAAAAAAAATTCAAAATGAATAATATTAAATAAAATACAATCAAAATATTCAATGAATATCGAGGATCCATCACTTAAGTCTTCCCTCGTGAGAAGGACTTTCATATTAAATATTACTATGTGGGTTATTTTTGTGTCTGTCGTTAATTTTTCTCAGTTCTCACTTGACCAATGTTAAAGACTAATATGTTAAAAGAACACGATTTTAATCTCATTGAACTTATAATCCCCAAATATTTTAAATTGCAATTCATAAAAAAAAATTCAAACTAAATCATCTTAAACTTAAATTCAATAATTTGATAAATAGTTAAAAGTAGAAATTGAAAAAAAGTTTCTAGCTCGACTTTAAGAACAAAAAATGTTATAAATCGAATTTTTAATATGAATTTTTTCATTTTCAGGATGTGATATATGTGAAATCGATAGTTTTCTGGAATAATTTAAGAACTAAATTCGAATCAGTAAATGCAAATTTCAATGTATATTATCAACCAGTAGATGATGATTGGAGACAGAAGACGTTGCAACTGTTAAATCTTTCTTCAAATAAATTGAAACTTAATAATGTCACAAAGTTTTCTAATAACGAAATATTGTTGAAGTATTTGATTCCTAATGACATTTTTCGTACATCAAAGCATAATTGTCTTTATAAATCATTGTCTTATATTTTGTTTGGAAATGAGAATGAATATTATTATTTACAAAAAAAAATTATGGATGTAAGTTGCTGACAAAGTTTATTTGTGTAAATTTTTAATAAAACTATTACTAATCAGATTATGTTAATTGCATAGTATTTAAAAACAAATGAATTTCCTGTTGATTTTGTCGGTGGTCAAGAAATGTTTAAGTTATACTTAGATCAACTTATACAAAGAAACGAGTATCAGGAATCAGTTATCAAGGGCAACATTAACAATGAAAGTAAGTGGATATTATAATAATGTTGGCTGAATTAGAGTACAAATTCTTTGAACATTAACGATAAACTTGTTCGTTGGGAAAACGAAGTTATCAATTGACTTCATGTTAAACGCATACTTAACTAATGGGATTTATTATTATAAAAAAACATAATTATAGATTTCACATGTAGTATTTGCTATATCAATAACATTGTTCATTTATACTACTGAAAGACTTCAGTTTTAATGGTATTGAACACTAGAATCTACTTAAAATTATCTTAGCAGAGGGATGCCCAAATCAACAGAGGTTAACCGCGAATTATTCAAATTTGCAACATTTATACAATTTAAACATGGTAATCAATTATTCCATAAAAAAATTGTTAAAAATTATATGAATCCGTGAGAATTTGTTTGTGGTAATTCTTTAGACATTTTTCCACATAATTTTTCTGAATTTATGTACATAAATTATTTTGTTAATGTACACGATTAGTGTTTTAATAAATAAATGTTAATTTTGATTCATAAATATATATATTATGATGCATCAATTTAATAGGATTTAAATATTACATATTATGTAACGTTTACCATCTCGCTTTTTCAGTGGAATAACGGCGCAAATGCAAATTATTCACATAAATACAACAAATAGGCTTGACTTAAACTAAACTGAATTTTTCATTCGTTATTTCTAGTTTATTCCTTCCTAGATATCATTTTTTAAAAATAATATTATAATAATATTTAATAATGTTATTCTGACATATTGAAATGGTATTTAATTTATTTTACAAATTAAAAATTGGTTTTGATTACAATTCGTTAACATTAGAAGTATTTATTCGTTTCTGTATTAAACAACAATTTAAAAATTTATATAAATATCAATATATACAAAAATAAACATATTCATTTCTATGTACTATTTAGTATGTGTACGATTAGTGGTAGTTATATTTCTAACCTTAATTTCAGTTGTACTGGTGATGCAGTGTTCATTGATGTAGGAGTTCAAATATAGTTGATATTCGTGCGTATTTATTCGCTGTTCAATCAAACATAGTTTGTTGATATTTCCATTTAATTCATCATGAAAAATCTTATTGTTACTTGTTAGTTTTTATTTAGAGAGAAAAAAAAACAAAAGTGTTCATTTTTTAATACATAGATATCATTACGTATATCATTTCTTTTTTAAAACATAACCAACCAATTATTTTATCTTCTTATCACTTTGTTAGGCATGACAACATTTTTCCAGCGCTGCCACCACATAACGCGAATGCAAAAGTCCCACACGATGTTGCCGCATATTATACAATAATACGAGTAATCATACAATAATAGTACATTTACAACATTTCATCTAAACTGTACCATTACAATATAATGTTGTATTAGTTTTCTTGCACTAAGGTGTTTTACTGGTTATTCACAAATAGTATATTTACACTTATATATTCTATTAAAATTTTATTGAAAGTATTTATTTAGTGTGATTTTAAACAGCAAAGATCATATCTTCGCGATAGGTTTTGTTGAAGGATTAGGGGTAAACAAAATATATTGGTTGGAGGAGAAACGGATAATAATGACTATGATGAAGTTCAGACACTGTAGAATATGTGAGTTAAACAAACGGACCAAGGCGTGAAAATGTCAAAACAGTGTGTACCAATTACTTTTTAAGACTTTTTTTGATCGAAAAACTGGATCATTTCCGTTTTATTATATTATATAGATAAATTAATAAAATGTGTCAGTGGGCAATATTCATTAAGACTTAAAGTTATTTAATTTACTTTGAATTTAGCATCAGTATTAGTAATATTTATTTTTAAAAATCATATTTTTATCGTTGATTACAGAATTAATTTTTTTCAGATACCTCGGAAATCTGTAATGGAATGGTTGAAATTATGGGAGCTGCATTTTACCTTAATACGTGTATTTTAGTATATTATGAAAAGTACGAAGATTGGATTTTGTATCATCGTAGCTGGCCAAACTGTGATAATGTAAATTGGGAAAACAAAAAATGTATTTATCTCTTCGATGATGGCCCAATTAGTGCTATTAATAGTATTTCTGTACACGAAAAGCTTCTAACACACCCAAACGATAAAAAATGTAATAAGTATAGAATAATAGAGACATTATAGTATGTTAATTTATTAATCTCACAACTCGATACTAATTGAAAACCCTCATAATCCAATTGTTGTGTTAACATTAGTATAATACAATTTTTTTCTTGGTATATTGTATATATTTTTAAATGTTATGTTAAAGTTTTAATTCAAAATTAACTTTTAATTTTATGTTAAACATATTGTTTTATTTATGTACTTTTACCTATTTTAAATCAATATAATAGCAATATCTGTTGGTTCTAGTTATTATCAGTGTTTCAAATTATAAATTTAAATAATATTCCAATAATAAAATGCCTGTGAATAAGTTTATATAACTTAAATTAAACATTCATTTCACACGAGGTTTCACTGTCAGTTAATAATTTATATAGTTTTTGATAGAACACTATAAGTGAATTTATTATTTTTCTACACTCATAAATTATTTACATATTTTTTTAAATTATATTTATGTTGGTAAAAATAAACTAAAAAAATATACAAGAGTGTGTGTCTATATATAATTTAATTTAATTCATGAATATTAAAATCCACTACAGTTATGTAATTAACACCTCGCATATTGTAAATGAATGAATTAGGTGAATACTATCTATAATTTTTCACATATTATAAAGCATCTCAAGAGATATTTTTTCAATTTTTATGCTAAAATTAACAACCTTCAGACACGTTATGAAAATGGGTATACACCAGAATTCGATGTTTTATAGTAATTATCAATGTGTTATGAGTTTATGGTTTGTTCCTTTGTATTGTGTAGAAGAAGCCCTTTGATAAAGCCTCCACTCGATGTTTGAATTTTAATTAACACGAGTATATATGTTTATACACAAAGGCTAAGTAGGTGGTATTGATTATCATGAACAAATAAATAGAAATTTCATAGGAAGAAAAAGATTTACAAATTAAAAAAAAAATGCTCCATCAGAAGAACCGTATGACACTGTAATACACACCTTTACTTTGGTATAAATACATGATAAATATTATTTATTTACCAAAAGTTTTGTAGTGTCGAACATTATTTTAATGAAAAAAATATCTTTGAAATTTCAGGTAATCTAAGATAACTTTTTACTAAATTGATACCAAACGAATTTTCCATGCAAAGTTTTTAATATATTTGTTTACACTATTTAAATAATACAGATAAATATAACTATATATTTTTGATTGTAAAATATTAATTTTACAATGCTACTATGTGAACTACTTGCTCAAATTCGACATTTTTAAACAGTTAAGACTATTGTAAAATTTCTAAAGTAACAAAAAAACATAAAATTCAAAAAAATTATTTTTAATACAATTGGTACATCACATTAATTAACATAAATTAACTTTTAAATTTCTACAATTCAAATATTTTTTTGGAAGTACCTTGGATACGTTAATCGCGATCGTATACGAACTTTTATCTCATAAAATCGAGCAAATGCATTTGAAGATAAAAATATATATCACAATAAAACCATTATATTTTCTAGCTTGGTATCGATACTAAAAAGAACTACGGGTGAGTAGATAGTAATACTTTTCAAATTGATGATTTATCACGAACATAAATTCTACTCAACGTGATGGATATCAAGAGAAATGTTTCTTTTTCATAGTTTAAACCGAATAATATTTATCAATTTACATATTTTATAATGACTTCTTGAGGACTATTGGGAATTTAGAGTTTTTTTTGTGTGACAAAAACATAAAACTATTAACGTGAGCAAAACAGTAACTGTTCTGAAAAAAGGTAAACTGTTTCATTATAATTGTTATGTGTGTAATTGGATCAACGGTATAGGCACCTACTACAATTATAAAATGGTAAAAATTGAAAAGTTAAGAAAAATTTTCTTTTTAAACCTCTCGAGAGTGAGTTATTTTTCTAATAATTAGAAAATAATTCACATGATAAGTCAAATGAAGTCGCTACTATCTGAATTATTCAGAAAGTAGCGACAACATTTGACTTAAGTAGTTGTTAACGAGTAACAACGTTTAATTACGTTCAGGGACACATACGTGTTAAAATTTTCTCACTTGGATCTATTGTCAAATTATAATGATATTAAATGTCTAGTTCCTATAAATTGATAAAAACATTAATTTTACGTCTTAAACTATAAAAGTGCAGACGATATTAAATAAGACATATTATTTGATATCAAAACTTTATCTGTAAAAATATTACACCCCCGTGTTGAAAAAACATATCGTTTAAATAATTTTATAGATAATCGATTCCAAACATTGGTGTTGTGCTGTTTTATACGATTGAGTTTAATTTCACTCGACGTGAGAACAATCAATTGATAATTAAAATTTCATTATCCGATAGCGGTTGCGATGTGCCCCTGTGATCGGCAAAAAACCTACGGAGGCTCTTCTGTGCCTGAAGGTCTCGCTCTACCGCATCCCTTGGGATGCATCTGGGGACACATCGGTCGTGTGTTTATAATAGTCTACTGTTGCTATGTGCACCGATCGTGCTTGTGCAGCGTCCCACAGCGTATATCCGGTGGCGATACTTAATAGTAGGATTGTAGTAGTGGGCGTGATCACACCGGTGCTTTTGGCAAGACGCCGTGGCGTACACTGAAACCGCCGTCGGCACTTCACTCGACAGCACGAGGACAGTACCGTGTGCGCTTTCAATCATGGACAACATCGTTTCCATCCTGTTCACTTTATTAGCCGCACAAACTTCATCGGGTAACTAGATGCTCCGATTTACCGTTTGCCTTTTTTTTTTTTTTGACTTTGCGCTTCTCTATATTTATTGCCTTTCATATTTATTGCGGTAGAGTTGATTCGTCAGTATTGTTGTGTGGACATTTGCAGTCAAGGTTAAAAACTAATCCATAGTTGTAAAATGTTTTGACTTTTTAATTAGATCCTGTTTACATAATAAAGTAAATTATTCGATAAAATTCTCAAATATAAGTTCTATCGATCTGCACAAGTTATTTTTATACTCAATAATATTTCAGAGAAAATTTTAAAGACAACGTGGATTACTTTTTCCAAAATGTTAAACTACCACATTGGTTTAACTGAATTTTAGATTAAATAAAAATTTGTTACTACGTACACTATTTAAGCGAGTGATATGCAAAATTGTCCAAAAAAAAAAATTTTGGAGTAATTAATTAAGGTCTATAAATTTTAATTTAGAAAAAAAAAAATGTCTGATAATTGTTAAATCAAATTCATGTCCAATTCTGGTAGACGTTAAATATGTAACGAATTATTTAAAATTCGGACTTAACAGAATAAGTAGCGTTATTAAGTTTGGTTGAAATCTAAATGAATATTTTTTTAACGTGATTTGAATTTCTTACTAAAAGTCAGGTAAATATATTAAGTAATTAATTGTTCACGAAATCGTCTGTTAATGTTATTCTTTAAAATTCCAAATCGCTCATATTATATAATCTTTTATACTTTAAATTTAAAGACGTTTTTTTAATTTAAAAAATAATAAATAAAGAAGATATTTCAAAATACTTGAAATGTTTAAGACACCTTAGGTTGTTAAAAAAAAAGAACAAATTAATTTGTTGATAGGTATATTCTTTAATATTCCCAGTTTAAAGTTTTAAAAGTAGGTAACAAAATTAGTTTTTTTTTTATTAAAATTGTCATATTTACAAAGTGTAACAACATATATTTCAGTAATATTTTAATAATTAATACATTATATAGTAATACACGTTACTACATAATTCTCGTTGGTTAATGTGACAATGCATTTAATAAATAACTTTTTTTTATTTCGATAAAAAAAAAAATATTAAAATTATAGTAGTTACATGAAAAATATTTCCTATACAATAGAAATTTTCAAAACTTATTTAATATTTTAATAACATTAAAATTTATATTTTATTATACATAGAAGTCTTATCTAAACTAATGTCTAATCTAATTCAATTATGTGAACTAATTAATTTGTAATATAAAAATAAGTATTTCTTTTGATTTTTGCATTCTTAGTCGATAATTCATTCACACTTAATTAAAAAACATTAAAAATAAATAACAAAAGATGAATTAGTATCAAGTAAATAAATTTCCATTATCATGTGATAGAATATGATATAAAAAAAAAAATTATTTTAAGGTTAGTGTTGATAAAATATCAATTATAAAATTATGTAGAATATTTAAATCAAACATTTTGAATATATCCTAGTATTTTTTTTTTTTGCATAATTATTAAATTTCTTTTTTTTTGTTTAAATTTTTTGTGCTTTGTTATTATTATTTGCTAGTATTGAAGTCTAAACATAAATAAAATCATCGAAACTTGTAGTTTTGGTGTCATAATTTAAGTTCGTCATCTATGGTTTTTGGTTTTAAGTCGTTAATTCAAAAATAATATTTGATGAGCAACTTCATTGCGTATTCATGTGTTCTAAAATTTTAAGAACTTGAAATTCATGAAAAATTTTTGATTAATTTTTCTGTTAAATTTAATATAATTTGAATTTTAAATAATATTAGTCACAAGTGATTCATTTTTATTATAACTATTAGTTAAGTGTTAGAAAAAAAAAATTTAATTAATTTAAAAATTACTTTAAGATAGAAAGTTTAAACTACTCAATAATATACAAAAATTTAGTTGATAATATTGAAATAAGACGTCAAACAGGAATGATGTATTATGTTTATAGATGGTTAAATATAGATATGAAAAAGGAGTACATGATAGTATAAGTTCATTTGAATAAAACTTAGGGTTCATGGTAATTGAAATGCACATATTTTCGAAGACACAAATATTTAAATAGTAGGGACAAAATAAGATAATTTTTAAATAATGATTTACTTATCATTATAATAATATAAATATTTTATTATATATTTTTAGTCACTAAAAATGGCTTTTGGAGTTAAATATTGTTAATATTTTTAATATAATTTTAATTATAGACAATTTATCCATAAGTGATAAATTTTTATTATACAGAATGATTTTTTATCATAACCCATTCAATTACTTACAGAATAAATATTATTTAAACATTTTTTTTTTTTAGGTTATCTTAATTATACATTATTCTTGAATTATTAACTATGTAATACTTTTTAAGTTCATCCTTTATGCCTTGTAAGGGTATCAACTTTGTTTTTTTTAAATGGGAACACATATTTTGAATTTAATGAAATTTTAGAGTTTTTAATTTAATAGTAAATGGAATTTGAATTTTTAATATAACTTTATTCGTTTATTAGATATAAACATTTAAAGTTTCAAATTTTTAAGTTAATATACATATACAGGGTGTTCAGTAAGTCAGGAAACGGGTATCTATTGTTCTCATTGTTACAAACAATGAGAACAATAGAAACCCGTTTCCTGACTTACTGAACACTCTGTATAGTACACAAGGTATTTACAAATACAGGTAGCTAATTGGTTTTCTATGACATCAATATTCGCAGGTACACAGCATTGTTATTTGCAATGATAGTAAGACACATTGCTGTAAGTTTATAAATACACTAACTGATAATATAAAAAGTATATCTATTGATAGTCATAATTGATAATAAACAATCCATGACTGTGATAGCAGTGTCATAAAAAACCAATAAGCTACCTGTATTTGTAAATACCTTGTGTACTATAATACACATTATAATTACATAAGAAAACGTCCATTTATTTCAGAGTAATTATTAGAAATATCAAGGTAGGAAAGTAATAATTTGATCAAAAATATATAAGGTTTAGAATTAAATGATATGAGTACATAGATTAAGTAGGCACAAAGAAAAATCAAATGATCATCGATAATAAAAAATATACATAGTAAATTTAATAAACCAATAATGTTTGTATGGAGTTAATTGGCAGAGTTATATCATTGATACATGTCTATTTCAGTAATTAAATACAAGGTTCACATATAGCCATCGCACTTCCCTTGGGTAAACACACGAGGTGACTCAATCCCTCTTATCAATGATAACCGTCAATATTCGTGGCATTATTGATATCAAAGAGTGTGACAATTGATAGTATTAAATTTAATATTAAGATCACTTTACTTTTCTATCATTTTTTATCTCTCTTACAAACCCTCGTACTCATACCCTCCCGTAATAATATTATCTAAACAACAAATGTAGTAACTCCCGACAAACAAACTATTTTATTTATTTTTGAGTTACTATAGTACAGTAACAATTTAAAACTAAAGTACAATTAATATAAGGAAGGATACGATATTAATCTAAGTTAAAATATAGCACTTGCGTTTGGACATAATTAATTATTTTAAAATACTCAGAAAACAAAGATTTTATGGTCTCCAAGAGTAAAAATGGGTTTTCAATAGCGTTCATGCAACAACTGTTAAATTGAATTTTATGCTGTTGCTTGTTATCTATAGCACTAAACAAATTTTAATATTATTATGAAACCAATACCCTTCCATGCTTGTATAACACAAACAATACGTGTATTTTTTTTTGATACATCACAAAAAGAAAACAATATTTTATTTCTCTTAGTTATTTAATATCATTGAAAGGTTTAAATACATTTGTTTTGTGTTTATTACAATATTTAATTTAAAGTGAACCACTAAATAAATGTGTCATGTTGATGTGTGAAATGTAATATTATTTTTTATTAATTAAAAAGAGTAGCATGAAATTTTAGATTTAAATTCAATAATTATATACAAATCGTTCAGGGTTTACAGTAGTTTTCATATATTTTTTAGTTGATAACTTTTTAAAAATATAATATGCAGTTATTAGAAATAATAAATGTTAATGTTTAGTAAGATTGAAAAATTACTCGTAACAGTATGATTGTAAACAATATTATTATTAGATTTTTTTAGTTCTTATGATTATATCAATGAGCAAAAAAATACAGAGTATACCGAGTAATTGATTAAAGATAGTTTCTCAGAAATTATTGAGAATTTAACCTTTTTATTAAAAGAAAAATTATTTGGTCCTAAAAACTCGTGTCGTTAAATAATTTATTTTTTCATTCCTTTAATTTAAAAGTAAAAAACATTATAAGTTATAACTTTAATTTTATAAAAAAAAAAATTCAAACAATCTTTTTTTAACCGATTTTTCAATATTAAAAGTGGTTAAGTAAGTGAGGAAATAGGTCAATTGTTACAAACAATGAAAACAATGAACATCCGTTTCCTTGCTTAATGAATACCCTATGTAGTATAGGTACTCACACGACAGTACTCACTGGTTTTTTATCCCTGAAAGAATGTAAAAAAGTGATTTAATTACACCCTATAGTAAATTTTTTTGAGTGCAATATTTTATCTTTTAACAAATTTTAAAATTTTCAGTAGCTTCTGAACAAAAGAATGTCTTATCTTTAATCAATCATTCTGTATTAGACAATGTTTTAGTTTATTTTGTTTTTTCACTTAAAAGCTATAAATCGAAATTGCATGTTTTCATTACAGTTAAACTATTAACTATCAAATCGCAAATAATAAAAAGAGTTATGGCCAGTTACAAAATGTCAAGTTTTGACAGTTCACATTAAACCTTTTTTACCTGTTATTTTTAATCTACAGTTTTTGTTGATGACATTTTATTTGAGCAAGTCACTTTGGTTATAGTACGATTAATTTATTTTTTACTAATATTTTACCTTTTACTAATTAAAACGTGTGTGAAGTAAAAAAAAAAAATGATAACATGTTCGGCGG